CACCTTAATTTTTAGTTTAAAGTTTAGCTCATTAAACTTTAGCCATTTTCCCTTTTTTCTATATATAATGTTAATATAGGGCTATATCACTTTCTCTATATAATGTTAATATCAGGCTGTATAGTTTCCTAAAATTATCACTTTCACCACACCTCCAAATTCTGTCATAAGGTATTTTCATTATAATTTAATTGTAGATATTTTAAATTTTCTATTATGATTTCTCTCTGAATCCAAACTTGTTTAAAATCTTATATAATTTCAAGTATAAAAATTATAATTATCTCCTATCTTAATTGTATTACGGTCAATAAATATGCCGACCAAGGTGAAGAAAGTCCACTACAATTTGTCTTTCACACTGATTTCAACTAAAACCTCCAGACAAAATACAAAAAGGATCTTAAAAGTAAGCAAGAGCAAGTGCACCAGGAGAGGCAGAAAATAATAAAAATGCCAGTAAGTTTCCTGGGTATTTTTTTTGTCTTCTAAATTTAACCCAAAGGTGGTCTCTGGCATGGAACTGTGCAGTAGCCACAGACAACAAAAACTCTGAGAGAATTGTCCTCTCTCTGGCCAGAAGAAAAAAAAGAGAAGGCACTCCAAGCCAGAATCACCATTGTTTCTTCTTCTTCTTTTTGTCCTGGCTCTGCTCCCGTGCCGCCCAGGGTCAGGGGGCACTGTCACAGTGAGGGCAGCAGTGTGGGCAACTGAGACCTCTCTGGCAGAAGGCGCCATCTAAGGAGGCTCTTTGGGTGCCAAAGAGTGTGAGGAATTTCTTTCCTCACTCTTGTCTTTCAATGCTCTGTCCAAGGGTAACTTAAATTTCTCACACCCAAACCCATGAACAGCATATTCTATGAGGTAACAGTGAACAGTCTTTCAATCAATAGAGAGAGCACTTGATAACAGAGAAATAAAAGCTATAAAAAAGAACAAAACAGAAACTTTAAAATTGAAAACTATAATATCCAAAACAAAAAATTTCACTGAGTGTAGTCAATGAAAGAATGTCAATGACAGAAAAAAAAATCACTGAATTTAAAGATAAATCAATTAAAATTATATAGTCTGAAGAACAGTGAAACAAAACTTTAAAACTGAACATAATAAAATTATCAGACAATACTAAAAGGCCTAACATTTGTCATTGGAGACCCAAAAGAGAAGGAAAATATTAGCACACAAAAGTTAAAAAGTTCTTAAAGTTAATAGAAAACATAGATTTACAGATTCCATTTCAGAGAATCTAAATCAGAAAAAAAATTCCAAGAAAACTGTGCCCAGAGAAAAACAGTGCATTACCTATAGAGGAACAAAGGCTCAAATGAATGCAGATTTATGCTAAGAAACCATGGAGACCAGAAGAGAATGAAACAGCATCTTTAAAATGCTAAAAGAACAAACTGTCAACCTATACTTTTATATCCAGTGAAAATATCCTTCATGAATGAAAGTAAAAGGAGTTTTTTCAGTGAAAATAGTGGAGTGTCTTCAGAAATTTTCTCCCCCATAAAAGCAATGAAAGAAGTAACAAAATTTGTCAAAATTTGCTTTTTCAAAACTCTAGCAGCTAACCAAAGGCTTTCAGCAATACAAGACGCAATCATTTAACAGATGGTCGAACTGCAGAAATAACAGAGAGCTTTGTGGTATTTTCACTTGCCTTAGTCCCATGCCATTCTCTACAACCCTGTGGTAGCTCTGAACACTAACAGCCCTACTTCACAGAAAAACCTGTCAATCTAGCAAATGAGGGTGGCCCTCCTTCAAAGCTCATTCCTTTGGAAGACCCCATTTGCAATGCTATCTTTCTTTGATCTGATGTGGAGCTTGACCAGTACAAAAAGCCTTTTGTTTGGGAGCATTTGTTGAAAACAGCAACAGGCACTTGTAGGAGACTGTTCTGTGTGGTGTGGGCCCAGCTCCCACTGGGAGATGCACAGGACCCATGCCCATGGGTAGGTTCTCCTGTGGGGAATCAGGCCTGTAATGTGCCTAGGCCACTTTGAGTCTTGCTCTCGCTAAAAAACTCCCTCACCCTGAATTGAGGACATTTACTCCAAAGTAACTTCCTAAAATCCATGCTAAACCTTCCAAGGATGAGTGTAACTGGTTCAACTACTTTTGCCTTTTCATTTGCAAATATCCCTCTTCTGTGATGTAATTAGCAGCATTGGCTCCTTTGTTTTCTGTAAAAGGTAACCACCTAAAGTGAACCTGTGCACAGTAAATGAGGACCATCATGTAATATGCTGAGAAACCCAATAAAGGCTGGTCATAGCAAGGGCCAAGGCTTTTGCTCTGCTTGAGAGAAAAGCCATGCTGTCCCTTTTCCTCCACCGGACTCGGTAGTTTGTGTGAATGTCTCATTTCACCCATAATGACACAGACACTGTGGGTCAGTGTCTGCATCAGGCACTTACATAAATTCACAAATGCCTGACCTAACAGATAATACTTGGAGTAAATAATAGACTAACCAAAAATATTAAAAGGACAATCTGGGGAATGTGGTGTCCATAAGAATTTGGAAAGCTCTAACACATTCCTGGGAATATAGAAGAGCATGTACATGCATGGAGCTGCATGCATGCTCAGGAGAAATCTGACCTTGAGGCTGTCTGCAAGCAGGAAGTTGAAACTATGGCAGAGTTGTCATCCACTTGGTTGAGTGTCAAAGGTGTGTCCCAATGTGCATGCAGAGCCCCTTGGTAAAGACTGAGAGACTTATTGATTCTACATAGTAAGGAAATGTTTGTTCAGTCATTAACTGACCACTGAGTTAACCAAGCAGAGACTTCAGTGGTTATATGACAAAGAATAAAGACTTAAAAAATTTAGCTCAGAGAAGTCACTAAGCAAACAAGCAACAACAACTACAACTACAACAATTATGTATCCTAGAGTTGGAGGTAGGAAGCAAATACAATTTCCAAAGCTTCCACATTATATTATGTTTAAAAATGTCCAGTTTTCAAAAAAAATTGAGACATGCAAAGAAACAAGAAAGAATAGTCTATATGTACAAGAAAGGCAGTTAATAGAAATTGTTCTTCAGGAAGCACAAACATTGAACTTATTAGACAAAAATTCTAAATCAGCTACTTTATATATATTCAAATAACTCAAGGAAACAATATCTAAAGAACCAAAGTATGAGGATGCTCTCACACCAAATATAGAATATCAGTAAGATAGAAAGCCAGCCTTCCCTACACCCTACACAGTCCACCATGACCAGTCCTCCACTACCACCTGTCTGAGCTCCTCTCCCACTTCTCTTTCCCCTCCTTCACTAGAGCTCTGACTCACAAGAAAAACAGAAGATCAGGGAACATGTTATACACTTCACTACAGGGATGTAGGCATCAAAATTCAGAATGTGAGAAAATCTATTGAACAAATAACCTAGTTTCTCCAACAAATAAATTGCAGGAGGGGGCAAAAAGGATGGAGGGGGAGCCTCTAGATTACAGGAGACTTAAAACATATCAACCAGCAGCAATGTGAAGACCTAATCTGAGCTCTGATTTTATACACATGTGTATATATAAGTATATTTTATATAACATGTAGGTATAATACACATGCACATGCAATTGAGGAATTGGAGCCATAAATAGATGTGAAATATTAAACAACTAAGAAATTACTATTAATTTATTTTAGTTATTAAATTCAATTATGGGTTTTTTTAAAGGTTTTTATTTATTTTATTTTTAGACAGAGGGGAACGGAGAAAGAGAGGGAGAGAAACATCAGTGTGTGGTTGCCTCTTGCATGCCCCCTTCTGGGGTCATGGCCCACAGTCCAGACATGTGCTCTGTCTGGAAATCGAACTAGTGAGCCTGTGATTCACAGGTCAGAGCTCAGTCCACTGAGCCACACTAGCCAGGGCAGATCATGGTTATGTTTAAAGAGTATTTTCCATTTAGGATAGATGGGGAAATAGGTATGGATATATTGATGTAATAATACATGGGTCGAGGGCAATAGATGGTGCATAGATGTAATATCATTGACCATAAAGTGACCACTGAAGCCAAGTCAGTGTCTTAGTCCATTTGAGCTGCTATTAAAAAATGCCACAAACCTGATAGCCTATAAACAACAAATATTTATTTCTCACAGTTCTGGAGGCTGGGGAATCCAAGATCAAAGCACCAGTGGATTCAGTGTCTGGTGGGGACACTGTCCTCATTCACAGCCGTCTTCTCCCTGCAGCCTTACACAGCAGTGGAAGGAGCAAAGGAATTCTCTCTAGCCTCATTTTTAAGGGCACTAATCCCATTGCTGAGGGGACTGCCCTTACAACAGCCCCGCCTCCCAAAGGCCCCCCGATCCTCATACCATCACTTTGGTATTAGGTTTCAACACCTACATTTTGGTGAGGGGTGGGAGGACACAAACATTCACCCCAAAGCACAAAGTGATGGGGAGAAGGGAACCATTTTATTAGATAAAGATCAGGCTGTTTATATGTGTAAATTTTTCCATTTGTCTTCAAAATCTGATGGTCTACCATGTGAGGAAGCCGGGTCAAAGAACGGCTCACAGTTCCCTGGAAAACATCAGGAGCCATCGCTGAGAGGCCTGCAGTACAGCAGTAAGGGAACAATAGCCCTGGAAACCAGCACCTGAGTCTGTGTGTCCTTGGACTTCACTTTTCTGTGCCTCTGTTCCCTCAGATGTGAAGTGGAAATAATAATGATATCTACTCCATAAAGTTGTCATGAAGATTAAATGAATTCATAGATATAACGTGTTATCTTAGAACATTGTCTTGTCTATAGTAAGCACTCAAAAAATGTCAACTATTATTATTATTACATAAGAAAAGAATTTGAAATAAATCACCAGGGTCTTGAAACACATGTATCCAAAATATGCTTTTAATCTTGATGAGGTTCACAAATGGCACAATATTGACATTTCCTTAAACAAATTATACAATCAGGTTCTTAGACAACAAGGCATAGCATCACCATTACAACAGAGCATAGCATCACCGCAGAGGCCACAAGAGGCAGTGATGTCACGTCCCCCTGCGGTTTGGCAAAGCTGCCATGGTCAACAGGATAGCTCTCTCAAAGGACCAGTTTGCTACCAGATAAGCTGATGAGAGACACTATCACGTTTACTGCACATAGAATCAAATATAAAAAGGATGCACAACAAATATGGAATTAGCTCGTTTTGCATTCAATTTCATTCCTTTTGATTGACAAGGGTGGGTTTGGGGGTTGTTTTTTATGTGTTTGGTTTTTGTTATCTATTAGGATGCAAACATGTATGTCTTCCATGGGGCCTTCTCACCAAGTTGTTGTCAACAGAAATTAATAGAAGTGGTGAGTTCAGCTTCATGGTAACCTGAGATGAAGAAAAATTTAAAAAGGAAGAAGAAAAGGGAGAAGAATGAGAACTAGGAGAATAAGAAGGCAATAAACAGAATTATTACTGAAAAGAATATGAACGTACAGAAGTGCTTCTTTAACTAAACAGCATTTACAAATTATGGGTATGAGATGTAAGCAGGCTTTTAAAACAAATGAAAATAAAAACAATCCAATAGTCACAATGAACATTACCAGTAGTATTATGATTACAGCCCTCTGGACTGAAACCATGAGCATGGATCAAGAGTTGAGGGCTTTCTGAACCTGAGTTCATTAATGAGGAGTAGCCCAGGCTAAGGTTTGCAGAGCCCTCCTTTTCTGAATTGAGCAAGCATTTTTTTTGTTTATTTTTCTTCTCTGAAAGATGAATTTGCATCTCTGCAGCCTGACCTTGTGCTCTGACTTCAAGCTGAGTTGTAGAAGGAACTCACTACATCAGGAGGAAGAATGCAATTGGAGAGGAGGATTTGAAGGACCTACCAGGTTCAGTTTATTTCAAAATGTGGATGTTAACCTCCAAATCCCTTCCCCTCCCATCCAACGGTATAAAGGCAGTCACCTTCCTGGAGTAGGTTAGCATCTCAGGCCTGAAGGTCTCTACGGCGACGACCAAAGGCATCGGAGCCCACATTGGTGGGCACAAAGTCGCTCTTCACCACGCCTCCAGATCTGCTCAGCAAGTCTGCCAGCCGATGGGTTACACAGGTAGAAGTGTTGCAGGCTCTTTTCTGGGCGGTGACACTGATTTGCAGGATGGAGAAAGAAGAGAAAGCCTGTTAGTAAGAGGCTGGAATCAGGAGCCTACCCCATGGGACCTCCTCTAAAAGAATTGTAGCTCTTCAACATACCACTTAAGAATAAGTGTTTCTCCTAAATGCAGTTATCAAAGCTATTAGAGGAAATGGCCTGGATAGACTTTGCTAGCAGCCCTTCATGAAAAAGAAAACGAAACCCAGTGCCTAACCATGGGACATATGCTGAAATATTGCCCTTATCATCATGTACATATAATGATCTTGAGATCAGGAAGGAGTACTCAGCAGAGGCCCAGCCCCACCCCAGGAACACAAGAAGCACACAGAAGCTGTGCTCCAGCCATGGGCACCAACAAAACCACTTCCTGTGGGAAAATTAAAATTCCCTGAAATCTTACCTGGAAGAGGCTCAGAGGACAGGGCTTGCAAGATCCTTTCCAAGAAGTGATTACCTACTCCTCAGCACACCTGCTCTTGATGCTGGAGCTGGTTCCCAGGGACCACTCACCAGGCCCTGTATCCAGCTACCCTGAGGCTAGTGTTACTCTTAAACATAGGCCCTGGGCACTTTCAAGCCTTGAAGAGGGACCAGAGTAATGACCACCAAGTGTAAACCCTTTTAGAACAAAGGTTTATTCATCAAGGATGATGCATGAGGGATACAGCAGAAATTGCAGGGTTCTGCTGTGATCTCTAGGCTTCCCTCACTCTCTTACCTCGAACCTTGTCTATAGGTCCTGCTCTCTCTTGCCTTCCATCCTGAGATCCCCAACATTCTCTGTCATAAACAAAGCTACCAGTACCAGCTTGAAGAGCAAGCAAATTGAAATATGCATGCATGAAGTTCAATGAGAGCAAGAAAGGAAATCAGGAGGGAGTGTAAGGATTTCACTTGGAATCCTGGAGCAACTCAGAGTTGGGGTAGCTACCCATCTCCAAGCCGCTGGCTCTATCCCTTTTCTTGCTGGGTGTTTCAGCCCAAAGCTGATGCCAGAGAACATATGAAAGTTGTTCATGTACTTCAAGTATGTGCCCAGCACACAGGTACTCAGATTACTGCACCGCTTAGCTCTGGAGCTGTCCAGGCTGCCAAGAAAACACATGCCAAACAATACCATGCACTGGGTTGGCCCCTGGGAGCAGTCATGCAGGTTAGACCAGGAAGGAGTCATTTTGATTCACTTAGAGCAGCAGCAGGAGGGACAGGCAGGAGGACAGCTCACACATTCTCCGTTAGAACTCAGATGGTTGCTGAGCCAGGGCTGTGTGGGGAAGGGCTGTGGTGGGGAAGGAGTGACATTTCCTGGCCTTCCTCATGCTGTTCAGGACTTCATGCTCTGCAGAGAGGTTCTCAGGGCAGATGCAGGTGCAACCGTGCCTCTTACTGGGCAGTGCCGGGGCCAGAGCAGGAGTTGGTGTGTGCTCCAAGCTTAGGATGCACAGGGAGGTGGAACTGGAGAAGGGTGCTCGCCCCAGCCCAGTGACAGCATGCACATCTGCAGAGATCCTACCTCAGACACTGCTCTACCTGACCCCACCCTCTGCAAGGCCTTTGGCGGCACCTTGCACATGTGCAACAAAGTCTCCTTGCAGGTGTGAGAGACCAGCACACACAGGTTAAATTTCTAACACACCCTGAGGTATACTGGGTCCACCTGCTGGCTTTAAACTTACCAGTCTTAATTCATCTGATGCTGGGTCATCTCCTCAGTGGGGCAAGACCAATTCCCAGAGAAAGTGATGCCACATCTCCTCATTTCATTTCCTAACAGCTTTCAGAAATGGATCTTTTAAATATGTCTAACTACAATCCCTCCTGCTGTCCCTGGACCTCTGTCTCCCATGCAGCATGAGAATGGCTGGGCTCCAGGGCCTGGTGAATGACAGCCTGCTGGACTCCTGGCCAGATGTTGTTTTCCCTACCTGCCTAGGATATGTCCTCCTGGATATGCCAAGGTGGGTGGGGAGCCTTACCTGGAGTCCTCTGTCTCCTGCTCCTCCTGCTCCAGCTCATTGGTCTTCCTCTCTACATAAGCCTGCAGCAGTGCAGCCAGTAGGAGGCGCCCTTCCTTCTCACTGAGTGCAGCAGGGTCGAGGTCCGGGAGGCTCTCCAAGGCCGACCTAGGGACGGGCAATCCCAACACAGGCTCTAAGTCCCAGTCTGGCCCCTCCCCAAGATAAGCAGCCAGTCCTCCTGCTCACTGTGACTTGCCCTGAAAATGTGCCCTTCTCTCCCCACTCCCAGCCCACAGGGCTTGGGGCCACTGTCCACCTGAGGGCGCTTGATTCACGAGGAGCCTCTGTTGTGACTTCAGAGGCACAGAACTGCCCGGTCCCAGGGGCAGCGGCTAGTACCTTCAGGCTGTCTCACCTGAATGGTGCTGCCTGGAGGCCGCCTGCCTGGCACAGGACCAAGATGCTGAAAGCCAAGAAGGGGGAGGACTTCCCGAAGCCCATGATGCCTCTCTGTAAAAGGAGAATAATGTTACTGTGGCACCGGGACAAGTGTGGCCTGGAGCCTGCAGACCTAGGCTCCAGTCCTGCCTCTGCCACACCCGCCTTGTGTCCTCAGGCAGGTTACCCCACCTCTTCACGCCTCCGTTCTGTTCATTTGCCACACGGGCTGTTGTGAATCTCAAAAGATACATTTTAGTAAATGTCTTGGTAGAGCAGAAACAAATGTCCTGGGGTGAGAATGGGAGAGTTCTGGCTTTGTTCTGCGGGAAGCCAGAGAGAAGCCACAAACGACCGCGTGCACACACACCCAAACCTCTGGCCCTATACAGAAACCAGGCGCGGACCCGCCCTGCTGTATACTTAATCTCCTGTCTTTTCCGGACCGAGAAATCTGGGAGCACCTTCCCCTAGGCTGAACTTCCTGCTAAGTCGGCAGAGAGGAAAGTGGGAAGCATAAATTGGAAGAGTGCTGTGGGTTTGAATTTGGGGAAAACTTAACATGCGGGTTACTAGTGTCTCCAGGCTGCACTGGGACGCATTTTGGCTGCAGATCTTAGGCGCCGGCACCCCGAGTTGAGCCCACTATTGGGTTCGCTAACTTGCACTGCCTCAGGTCCCTGCCACTGACTGTCCCAGGGACACTCGCGGGCTGGAGGCGCCTCGGAGGAAGACTCAGGGCTCCACAGCCCCAGGGCCGAAATGGGGTCCCTGCGGACAGAGACCGCACAGGGCACTGCCAGACCCACCAAACTCCGGCAGGATGCTGCACACTGACGGGCACCAACACGAGGGCCGCAGACTCTCCTGTCTGGACTCGCGGGGCTTCCAGCAGCCAGGCGAAACCCTGGGGGTGCTTGGGGTTCCACTGATGTTACTTAGAAGAAAACGCGCCGATGGCCCCAACCACCCGCCTTTCTCCCAAGAGGGACAAAGAGCTAGAAGCACCTGTCTGTAGCTGGGCCGAGATGGTCGTGAGAGGCAAAGGAAAGGCAAGCAGGCAGGCAAGTGGAGCAAACTGGGTGAACTAACCCTGAAGCAGGTTATTAAAGTGGAGTGGGTAGAAGTTCCTCACCTGGAGGCTTGAGTTGCAGGAGAGTGCAAGCGGCCGGTCCACCCGGATGGACACAACGCCTGCTGTGGGCGTCTTCCCCGCGGAGCTCTTGGCTCTTATTCCAGTGATAGTGGGAGGGGGGTCCCCACGAGCCCGCGCGGCCAATCCAAAGTGGCCAGGACCGACCAGCTCCGATTGCGTCATTGCTCCCGCTCCCGGCACCGGTCCACTAGGGAGGAGAGCCATCCGCTCAGACTGTCTTTTGCAATGAGGTCATTGCTTGGAGAGCTTGAGGGCTGGGTGAGGGTGGAGAGCCTTCGACGTCCAGAAAGTGGGGACAAATCGGGGAATTTGGAGTCACCAAAAGTGACTACTCTCACTTTTCTTGGCGCCTGAACCCGGCCTCGCACCCCCGTCCTACCACGCCAGTGCAGCCCCCAGCTGGACCCCCAGGGGGCTGAACGGCCGTCCTGGGGTCTAAAGGTATCTCAGCGGAAACAGCGCAAGCTGAAGGAGGGGGGTGGTGACATAGAAGGGCCTTGACAGATTGCTGTCTTTGGACCACCTGGGCTGCTCCTCTGACATCCTCTGTTTCATTCCCTCCCCCTCCCCACCCGCCTAGGGCACCCCACCCCTCTCGCCCTGGCGCCCTGCCACCCCCGCAAAGTAGTTGTATTTCCAGTCTGGCAGCCAAGCCCCTTGAGCCTCACTCCTCTGGGACAGGTAGAAGTGAACGAGAGAACTGGGGAAGGCGCTAAACTAGCGCTGTGTGCGCGTCCCTTTCTAGCTGCCTAATCCTCGAAATGGAGTTGAGCGTCGGGGACCCTCCCCGACAGCGCGGGTGTTGATTTACACAGCTGCCCGGGGCCTCTGGCATTGTTGCCAAGTTGCTGGGCGGGACAGCCTGTGCCCGGGTCTCTGCGCGTCTCGCCCCACACTCACTTTTCCTGAAGCGCCTGACTGTTAAGCAGGCCGCGGGAGCGCCGACCCACCCAGGAGAGTGAGCGCAGCACGCCCGAAAGGAGCCCGTCGGCCTTTCACACCCAGTTACAGACCCGCAGGGGGCAGGGGCGCGCCCTCGCGCTTCCCGCAGGGCTCAAGTCCGGCATTTACATACCTGGACCCCAGCCACACGCCCTGCCTGTCGCATTCCCACACCAGTCTCCGCAGATAAGCCAGCCTTCGCCGAAACATAAGCGCCCGCACCAGCTGTTTGCAAATGAGCGCTCGCACCCACCCAAACCAACTTCACCGGGACCAGAGAGCAACCCCAAGACTTTCTGCTTTGGAAAACAGTCACGTTTTATATGCACAGGGGTACACCTTGTCGCCCCGCCCCCGCCCCCAGCACACCCATAGGCACACGCACATCCTCGCGCACGGAGCCAGCCTCTCCCTTTTTCTTAAGGAAAGCCTGGTTCTCGGGTCCACACCGTCGGCGCTCGAGGCACCCTGGCTCCGAGAGGAGACTCTAGCTCAGGCCGCAGATTGGGCTGGGAGGTCGGGGCAATGCGGAGGAAGTGAGGGAGCGCCACCCACCAACAGGGCCTCAGGCTAGCCCTGCACCGCCCTGGGGCTGCGGACCCAAATGCTCCCGCCGGTCCCTGCTTAGCTCTCGAGGCCTTACCCCAGAGTGCGGGGCAGGGAGGGCGTAGCCCGAGACTTGTGGGATCCCCACGGCTGGTTCTACTCGCTTGTGCGGCTCAGAAAGAGGCCCAGGGGATGTCTGTCTAGGCCTCCGGGCCTCATTTTCTGCAGCCAGCAGAGTGCTCAGAGGCTGCAGGGGCCGAAGTCGCCCCGCCCCACTGGGACGCCGTTAGACACCTAGAGCGTGGCTGGGGGCTGTAGCGGACGCGCAGCAGGGCAGGACTCCCAGGACCTGTGTAAACTCAGACCAGCAAGCCTTGCTCCCTGAGGGGTTCCTCTTTAATAGTGGCAAGGGCTCTCTGTGCCCAAAGTGTTGAACTAGCTTTTGGATGCAACCAGGGACACCTAAGCAACTTTTACTAGGAGGTCCTTCTTTCCAAATCCCTGTAAAAAGAAGGGGGACTTCTGCATCCCTTTCCCCATTTCCGAGCCGGGAAGGGGGCTGCTGAATGACAAGGCGCAGCTGGGAGGCTCTACCTCATTAACGCCTCTGCCCTCTACACCGCCTCTTCCAGGATCTCTGCCACCATCCCAGGCCTGGCAGAGCTTGCAGGCCGCCCCAGCGGCTCCTGGCCTCACCACTCTCCACGGAGTTCTGGGGACACCGAGAAATAGCTGGGTAGCTTGGAGGGTGGGGGAAGGGCAGGGTATGGAAAAGGTCCAGAAGGCCCCAGACCCTAGAGCCGCAGGCTTTCTAGCCCCCACGAAGTAACCAGGGCTCTCCGAGAGCAGGAGAAGCCGGCAGTGAGTGCCGGAGGAGTTGGGTTGGGGTTGGGCCTCCCCAGAGCCCCACAAATATGAATTTGGAAAAAAAGAAAAAAAAAACAACTCTGAACTTTTGGGGCTGAGCGCTGGAGAGCTGGCAGCCTCTCCAGAGATTTTCTTTGTCAGCAGGACTTTTCTGAAATGTTGGGGCCGACAGCCGTGCTGCCACCGAGTGAGAGCACACTTCCTGGCTGTGCCCTGCGCTCCAAAGACGCCAGGGGAGTGACCCATAACCCCAGGAAGAGCTCCTGTTTGGGGAAACGTAGGCTGGAGCTTCTATAAAGGCCGCAGGGACTAGAAATCCCACCCTCTGACAAGAAAGAGTGCACTCCCAACCCAGAGACCCATCCGAACACAAATGTACCTGGTTCTGCGCTCTGAATATCTTCGTGAGTGCTCAGATGCACCAAAAACTATTTCTTCTTCCACTGCTGATTGTGCAGTGTTTGGTGCATAGCAGGTGCACAGTAAGCGTTGGAAAGAGGGGATGGGTGAATGAACTTCAATCCATGGTTTCATTGCAGTAGGAGTCAGCAGTAAATTTGCAACCAGGCTGAGTGGGGCTGCAGACCCAATTTAGATCCATTAGGTGGAAAAGGAAATCGCTTACCCAAACATGCACCTGTTTTTCCTTTTTTATTTATTAAAAGGCAACCATGTCCTGGTGAAAACTTTCTGGAATTTAATATGAGAGAAAGTACTGAGGGCTTCTTTTCTTTTCTCTAGCAACTTGAAAAGCAAAACAAGGCAGTTTTCCTCAGCCCATCCTTGTATTATATTAGTGGGTGATGGAAGACAAAGTCAATAAAATAATTTGCTTTCTAACTTGAGAAAATTATATTTTGATTTCCCTGGAACTGTTCTGAGCTTTGAGGCATCCCCAATCAAACTAGCATAAGAATTTACAGAGAATAGTTTCCCAAGAATGTCTTTCACTTTTGAATAATCTCAAATATTTTGATCCTCAGTTAAACTATTTTATGTAATTAGTTTTAAATTTTGAAAATGATAAATTTTTAGAGAAAAACTGGTTCCAGGTACTACAGCTTTTGAAGTTTATTTTTATCTACTTCATCTTACTGTATTTTCTTCACAAATTTCCTAAGAGAAATATTCCTTAGGGGAAACTTACATTCATTCAAATATTCATTGAGGACCTACTGTGTGCCAGCCATTGTTCTAGGCACTAGCAGCTCACAGTAAACAAAACAAAGCTCCCCTGCCTTCCTAATGCTTCTATTACAATAATGTCTTCAATAAGAGTCCTTTTATATCACCCTTTACCAAAATAGAGCACATCCCCATCCTATTCACATCCCCTCATTCTTGGTTTACTCTCACTTTGGTGGAGCACACTCACCATTTCATGTTGATAGATTTCTGGAAATAAAATTCTGGGTTGCAAATTATTTTCACTCAGAATTTTGAAAGCATTCTCCATTGTCTTCTATACCCAGTGTGACTTGAGAAATCCATTTCCCTTTATTCTGTATTTGGTATAGGATCTCCATCTGTCTGTCTCTCCCTCTCTGTCAGAATCTTCTCAGCAGTGTTCTAAAATAACATAATGAGGTGGACTATTTATTGTTCTGAGTACTGACAGAACACACAATCTGAAAATTTGTGTCCTTCACTTCAGGTAAACTCCTTGCTTTATTTCTTTTTTTAAAAGATTTTATTTATTTGTTTTGAGAGAGAGGGGAAGGGAGGCAGGAACAGAGGGTGAGAAACATCAATGTGCAAGAGATACATAGATCCAGTGCGACTTGCACACCCCCAGCCGAGGACCTGGCCCACAACCCAGGCATGTGCCCTGACTGGGAATTGAACCAGCGACCCTTTGGTTCACAGGCTGGCACTCAATCCACTGAGCCATACCAGTCATGGCTCTTGCTTTATGTCTTTGATAATTTTCTCCCCCCGCCCTCATCTTTCTGGGAGGTATTTTTTTATTTTACGTTCTTTTTTAATTTTTCCATATTTTTAATTTCCAAGAGGCTTTAAAAAATTCTATGTGTTACCTTTTATGGACTCCTGCTTTTATTTAATGGGTGCGACATCTTCTGCTAGCTCTCTGAAGCTGTTAAACACAAGTTGTTTGTTTTGTTATAATAGAGACTATCCTCACATTTCTAGTGTTCTTTTGTTACTGGTTTAGGTTTAAAAAGAAGGTAATAAAATACTAAGTGGAAGATGGGGATTTCAGTTGTCCATCAATGAGCCTGAATATAGAGTGATTAGATGAGAAACAACATCACTATTTTCTTTGAGGATCCCTAAATTATGAGTAACTATAAGACTTTTCTTATGGTTTCTCATTCACCCTAAGAGGACTCCTCCAGTCTCCAGTGTAGGTCAGCATGGTGCGGGTTGGGGAGGAGTAAGGAAGGAGGCTGACAGTTTTACCATACATTATGGTAATCCTCCAGTCTTTTCTGAGACCCAGGGGGGATAGGCATCTAACAATAGAGGACGTAGAAGAAAATCTTGAGTTCAACTATGCTTTTTAAAGGCGTACCATCATTCCAACTCTCAGGCTATCCTAAACTCCACAGAGGCAACAATTGCTCAAAGCCCTGAGCTTCTCCAGGGTCCTTGCTTCTGGATGGCTTTCCCTGCCCTCCTAGAGTTTGTACTAGACACGTATGCCTTTACACTGCTTACTCTTCTGCTAACCCAGTTAAGGAGACTGGCTGAAGGGTAGGAAATACAGACTTTCTTTGAAGAGCCCTCA